TGGTGAATGCCCATTAAAAGAAAATAAAACACACAACTGGGCACTTGTTAATATCTTTTAAAATTGTGTGTGTGTGTGTTTGAAATGGGCATCTGTAATGGCATGAATGTAATGGCTGGTGTGTTGAACTAGCACCTGGGAGAACAGGGTTCAGTTCTACATCCACTTAAATCAACACAGTGGGACCTACTTCTAAGATGAATGCATAGGATTATGTTAGCAACTGCAGCTAAATGATACCTCCTCTTCAGTATAGTTAACCATTGCATATGCAAGAACTTTGGAAGGGACACGGGTGGCGCTGTGGCTTAAACCACAGAGCCTAGGACTTGCTGATCGGAAGGTCAGCGGTTCAAATCCCCGCGACGGGGTGAGCTCTGGTTGTTCGGTCCCTGCTCCTGCCAACCTAGCAGTTTGAAAGCACATCAAAGTGCAAGTAGATAAATAGGTACCGCTCCGGCAGGAAGGTAAACGGCGTTTCCGTGTGCTGCTCTGGTTTGCCAGAAGCGGCTTAGTCATGCTGGCCACATGACCCGGAAGCTGTACACCGGCTCCCTCGGCCAATAAAGCGAGATGAGCGCTGCAACCCCAGAGTCGTCCGTGACTGGACCTAATGGTCAGGGGTATCTTTACCTTTACGTCTATGCAAGAACTTGGCCTCATTTCCACTGTGCCTGAGAGTGCCGTGTGCCAATGTGAAGCCTGGATTATATAAGAATATAAGAGGTGGCTGAATCAGGCCAGTGGTCCATGTTGCCAAGCATCCTGTTCTCACGTGCTTGTGGGAAACCCACAAGCAGGGATCTAGTGTGGGGAGTGCCAGGGGGGCATGGCCTCAGGAGCATAATTTTTGAGGGGGCATGAGCCAGGTGCCCCCACGTAGATGCCCACTGCACAGCTTGCCCCAGTGCTGCTCTCCGCCCACCAAGGGCCACATAGTCCAGCCCAGCTCCCCCCTGTACTTGTGGGCAGGCGGTTCAGCACTGCCCTCCTTTAGTCTAGTAGGAGTGGGGTCTCTCCGGCAGTGAGGGCTGGGTTGGAATTCCTCTGCCTGGCATGCACACATTTGACCCGGGTGCAGGCAACTGGTGCTACGCTGCTGCCCACAAGCAGGACCCGAGCACAAGAGCAATTCTCTATCCCATGGTTTCCAGCAGCTGGTATTCAGAAGTGTTACTGTCTCCAACAGCAGACCCTCCAAGTGTCCCTGTTTTCCAGTGACAGTCCACAGGATTTACAGAAGCCGTTCTGGTTTCTGATTTGATCCCAGAATGTCTCGCTTTTCCTTAGGTCGTCCCTATTTTCATCAGAGAAATGTTGGAGGGTATGGAATAGGACGTCCCTATTTTCACTATCCATTCTGAAGGAAATCAGCCCTGAGTGCTCATTGGAAGGACAGATCCTAAAGCTGAGGCTCCAATACTTTGGCCACCTCATGAGAAGAGAAGACTCCCTGGAAAAGACCCTGATGTTGGGAAAGATGGAGGGCACAAGGAGAAGGGGATGACAGAGGGCGAGATGGTTGGACAGTGTTCTTGAAGCTACCAGCATGAGTTTGACCAAACTGCAGGAGGCAGTGGAAGACAGGAGTGCCTGGCGTGCTCTGGTCCATGGAGTCACAAAGAATCGGACACGACTAAACAACAACAACATTTTCACTGGAGAAATGGTAGAGGGGACGTCTATATTTTCATCAGAGAAATATTGGAGTGTATGGAATAGGATGCCCCTGTTTTCACTGGAGAAATGGTAGAGAGGATGTCTCTATTTTCCTCAGAGAAATGTTGGAGGGTATGGAATAGAATGTCCCTCTTTTCATTGGACAAATGTTGAAGGGTATTCAACCGGGGAAGGTATAGCATAGCCATGTGGCTGGGAGTTGTGTCATGCTGGAGCAGCAAGTTTGGAAGCACCGGTTCAGGTTGGTCAACCGCAAAGAGTGGACCGAGCAATTTCCTCCCACATTTTTAGTCACAGGCAAAGGTGGTTGCATAAACTGCACACCCCGGCTGTAACTCCTCTGCCCTGCAAATCTGTAGCTCAAACAAACCCGATGAGCCTGTGTCCGAAAAAGCCAAAGCAAATTAAGTCATGTTGCAGGAAGAAAACTGTGGGTGCACAAAGAGCACAGAAAAGACCTCTCCGTTGCTTCAACCAGATAGCAGAGCCTTGATGAGAAATGACAGATCACAAGCAAGAGAGAGATCTCGAATGACAATATCTACTGCTCCAATGGCCACTTTTGACATCGACAACAATGACTTCACCAGAGGATGGGAAAGATGGTTCGCTGTCTCCCCCCACATGCGAGCAAAGAGCAAAGCTTGCAGGTAAGCACCATTGCCATTTAGGGACCAGCTATTTTAGAAATTTGACAGAGGGAGGGGAGAGAGTGTGGATTTCTTTGCAACTTTCAGCCATTTGTGATTGATTTTTTTATTTGGTTTTAATGCCACCCCCCACTATGCAATATAGAAACTTCAACGAACAAAAATGAAACATGCGTATAACATCATTAGTCACCTAAATAGGCATGCCACTCTTCACATGCTGCATTAATAAATTAGGAGTCAGTTAAGGCCGAAACATATTAAACAATTCATTTTTTTGTGTAACAACCTTAATACACAGAAAATTAGTGATTTTATTGGATGCCTGTACCCTTAACTAACTTTTAATGCCTCTGATCTTAAATTACTTCTGCAGTTACAAGAATGGTCAAATTCTTGATGCTGTGTCATAGCAAACATCACCTTGATTGAGCATTTGCAAAGGTACTTTGCATGCTCCTCCAATCAGCTGATTGCACAGCTCTGCACCTTTGCCCTCCCTGCTTGATTTCATTGTGATGTCAGGTGATTGACAGGTGGGCAGTCCCACCCATCTGGCAAAGATGACCCACAGTAGGGTAAGGGTAGTTAAGGCACTGCCTCGCTGGCTGGGTACAGTTTCGTACCCTTCATATGCCCCTTCTTGTACAGATAGGACCTGTTGATGGCATTTTACCATTGTACTGTGGAGGGTGTATTAACTTATGGTCTGTGTGTGTGGTTTGGGAGCTGCATGGCCAGGGAAAAAACAATGCTGTCCAGGGTTGTAAAGACTGCAGAGAGAATAATTGGGTGCACTCTTCCCACCTTAGATCAAATCTATGCTGTCAGGTGCCATAAGAAAGCTGCAGAGATCGAGCAGGATAGTACGCACCCCGGAACTGATCTCTTTCAGCTTCTGCCTTCTGGAAGAAGGTATAGGGTTATAAAGACCAGGACTAGCCGCCTGAGAAACCGTTTCTACGCAAATGCAATTCTGGTTCTAAATGCAGCATAAGGAGTCTCCACAGTATGTTGTATTTTAAAATGGGGTTTCAGAGTTTTTAGGGGTTTTTGAATGTTTTATGTAGATTTTCAATTTCATTGTTCTGTATGGGACAATGACAATAAAGATATCATATATCGTAGAGGTTGGGGAGTTCGGGAGTTCAGGCTAGCATAAGATTCACAAGGGTTCTTATCTGGTCCTACCAAAGGCTTCCTCTGTTTTGCACTGTCAATCAGACATATTTTGCAAACAGAATATGCAATCGAAGACAAGGGCAGAGATATCAATAATCCATGGCAACGGGGCAGTGGGGGGTGGGGAAACAAACCCAGAGGAAAGTGATTTGATAACAATTTCCACGTTCCAGTCCATAAATCCTCTAAAGCTCTCATTTCCCTGAAGAATTTTCCGGTCACAACCCTGATCCTCGTGGATTGATTTTCTCATTACCTGCAAGTTCTTTTCTCTGAAAGTTCCAGAGTTTTCAGGAAGGAACCCAACAAAAGAGGCTGTGTGCCATCCTCGAGAGAAGGGCCCTCAAAGGCAATGCAATCATAGCCTTTAAATACTTTCAAGGTGGCAGCGAGATGCAAGGATGAGTGTTATTGATGGAGAGATGGGGAAAGGGAAGAGGAGAGAAGCTGGAAACAGGACAGGATTTAAGGCTGGAGTGGGAAACCTTAGGCCAGGGGGGCAAATGCAGACCCCCCCCCCGGCCTCTCTCAATCTGGTCTCTGTATCTCCATCCGTTGAGAGTTTGGGTGTAATCTTCGACACCTCCCTTTTCATGGAGGCGCAGATTGCAGCTATAACAAAGGCGGCATTTTTTCATCTCTGCCAAGATAAGCAGTTGGCTCCTCACCTCTCTCGCCCTGACCGAGCCACTGTGATCCACGCGACGGTCACCTCCAGACTTGATTATTGTAACTCACTCTACGTGGGGCTGCCTTTGAGACTGATGCAGACACTCCAGTGGATGCAGAATGCTGCGGCGAGACTCCTTACGGGGTCCTCGCCGCAGGATCACATTCACCCAGTGCTATACCAGCTGCACTGGCTCCCGGTGGAGTACAGGATCAGGTTTAAGGTGCTGGTTTTAACCTTTAAAGCCCTATATGGCCTAGGACCCTCGTACCTATGGGACCGCCTCTCCTGGTATATCCCACGGACGACCTTACAGTCCTCAAACAAAACCATCTTGGAGGTCCCGGGCCACAGGGAAGTTAGGCTGGCCTCAGCCAGAGCCAGGGCTTTTTCGGCTGTGCCCCCGATCTGGTGGAACGCTCTGTCACAAGAGACTAGGGCCCTGCGGGACTTGACATCTTTCCACAGGGCCTGCAAGACAGATCTGTTCCACCAGGCCTTTGGCCAGGGCACAGCCTGACTCCCTCCTTTGGCAATCCTCACAGAACTCTAGCCCAATGGTTGCCATTAATTTGATTTGAACTGATTTTATAATGAAATGATTTTAGATTATTGTATTATTTTACTGTTGTTAGCCGCTCTGAGCCCGGCTTCAGCTGGGGAGGGCAGGATATAAATAAAATTTTATTATTTTTTATTATTATTATCTCTCCTCCAACCCCGTCCATACCTTTGACTATGCACTGCGTGAATAACAGAATCATAGAATTGTAGACTTGGAAAGGACCATGAGTGTCATCTAGTCCAACTCCCTGCTGTGCAGGAAACTTGCCCAATGTGGGGCTCAAACCCACAACCCTGAGATTAAAACTCTCATGCTCTGCCAGCTGGGCTACTCTCTTTTGCCCATCCTGGAGTTTCTATCATTCAGCTTCAATGGCTGTCCATAAGTTGCATGTCGAGACCCCGAGACCACCCCCTCGTTGATGAATAAGACACAAGGACATGGATATTAGGTTAATGTTATGGGGCAAATTTAGGCCACAACTTTATTGGTTACAGAATGTGAGTGGTATTGGCTTAGGCATTGGAACTGACCCGACTATATCTGACTCCTGCCCGTCACGCAGAGAGTCCAGTAAGGGTCAACCACCGGTAGGGGGAGCCCCATCAATGCAAACCAACTTGAGCTCCCCCTGGGTTCCTGTCAGGGTCGTGGCATGGCCCTAGCCCAGCCCCAGACTTTGGACAAGATCCACACACCTGGATTCCTTTAACAGAATACCTTTAGGCTTGGAGGGGCAGGTGATGGCCACACCTCCCCTCCTCCATCATAAGATCAGCCATTGCCTAATCGCCAAACCTTACAAAGTTGTGGTGATTGCTACGAGGTAGGCGGAAACCAAATGGCCCATGCCAATTTGCCAAGTGGAAAAATTCCTACCAGGCCCCTCAATGGTGACCAACCGAGGTCCATAGCAAAGCCAAATTCGAAACCGGAAAATAGGGAGGGAGCGCGGGAGATTGAGGAAGTGAGCCAAGAAGAAGCTCTCCAGCTTGTGCCTCAGTTTAAATGGGGCCCGGCCATGCCCCCCGCCAGCGGATTGGCTGGCAGGTGAATGACATGGCTGGGAACCTCCGGGGGATGCGGGACTTCGTCCCCCACCCCCAGAGGGGAGTGGGTGGCCATGTGGTCCACCGCAACTCCTCCCCACTGGGAAGTGGAGCAGATTTCTAGGGTCATAGGAGAGGCAGAGAAACTTTACTCACCTTCTCCATGCCATGCATGATTTTATACATATTTAAAATACATATTTTGAGAGATATGTATTTCAATGCATACGCAATTGTGAATTTTCACAGGTGGCTGCAGAAGCAGGGGTGAGACAAGACTCAGGAAAGCCTCATCTGCAAAAGGGATGCAAACCAGAAATTCACTGATATTTTATCCCTAGTTGTGAGCTGTCTTCTCCACTATCCGTTTAGCAGCTGAAAGAAATAGTGCTAACAGTTCGTATTGCTTGAATGAATACTGATTTATGCATGCAAATTTGTTGTCTTCTACGGCAGGGGAAAGGCATGCCCGTAAATCGTGAACCAGAAATCACGAAACTGGCTACAAATGCAATTTCTGAAAAATGAACTCTGAAATTAACATCTGATCTAGAGTTGGCCCTCACAGAAAGCCATAGAGTAGCGGCCATGCATGCTTCAAAAGACCAGGAAACAAGTATCCTTTTCCCTGCTGACCATGTCATCTATGATACACTGGGATGCAGATCAATGTATTTATATCCTGCCTTTCTCCCGGGCTGGGACACAAGTTTGCTTGCCACATTTAAAAACAACATTATAAAATACAGAGTAATAGAAGCAAACTAGTAGAAAACCATAATTAAAACTCTTCAGAACACATTTAGAACCAGTGATTAAAGGTGCACTTTGCCCTGACAGCAGCAGCCCAATGATCAGCATTTTCTGCAATTTAGTTTTCAAAGGCCTGTCTGAGCAGGAAAGTCTTAGTCTGCTGGTGGAAGGATAACAAAGAGGGGGCCAGTCTGACCTCTCTAGGGAGGGAATTCAACAATGTGGGAGCAGCCACAGAAAAGGCTCTGTCTCGTGTCACCACCACCCGTGACTCTGATGTTGATGAGGCTGAGAGAAGGTGCTCATCTGAGGATATTAGCACCCAGGCAGGTTCATATAAGGAGATATGATATTTTGGGTAGCCTGAGCCCAAGCTACATAGGGCTTCATAGTTCATAACCAGCACTTTGAACTGTGCCCAGAAACAAAATGGTAGCCAGTGAATTTGTTTTAGGAAAGGAGTCATATACTCCCTGTACCCAGCCCCATGAGCAGTCTGGTTGTAGCATTCTATGATACTATGAAGTCAGAGACCTATTTCAAGCTGATGGAGAATGTGAATGGAGATCTGGGAAGAAGAGTCATTGCTAGGTGCTTCAAAGACTCTGGGCATGACAAAAAATTGCATATGCTCATTTATATGCATAGAGCAGGTGAGGTGAACCACTTTTCAGCCTGGGATCTGTATATTCCTCTGGGCAACCTTCCAAGGACCACATGCCAATGGTGGCCAGAGACAAAAGGAAGAGGAGCAACAATGTAAAGTTTACCTTTGTACAGTAAGCTACTTTCTGCACAGACTCAGACAACTGATGGCAGATGGAATCCGAGAACACCAGGAGAGGTTAACGCATCTCTGCTTTTGTGCAAATTGACTTGGCCTTGCTAGCAAACAAGAAGTCAGTTTCACAGCATCAGATAGTCACATTTAGTCACGATGACGGTTGACTGATGAGTTTCCAATAAGGAGCGCTTTTATCCGCAGGTTCCAGCTGCTGCCTTCTCTGGTTCTGGATGGCTGAATTAGGATGGAGTGCGGTCCATTTAATCAGAGACATTGATTGTATGTGTTGGTGACGATGCAGGGGACGACATTTCTCATGCTTCGTTTCGTCGTCCCATGTACAAGTAGATGACATAAATATCCGGTCCAACTTCTCATTGGCAGAAGCAATTGATCAAACCAACAGCAACAAAATTGAGGTTTTGCTTGCTATCAGAGACAGGAAAATAACTGCAAAGGTTGCTTCATTTGCCTCTGTGGCAGGAAGTATTCATCAAAACTACACAACGGCATTCGTCTGATGTTCATGTGATACTGTTTTTTCTGATTTTCCACTCGTTTCTTTTGAAGTGTTTCTGTGTTCATAGGACACCCACACCAACAAAGAACTTCTACTGGATATATTACAGGTGGGGTATAAATTCCTTAATTACCCGGTTATAGGGTATCAGGCTAGGACCTGGGAGATCAGGGTTCAAATCCCCACTGGGTGACCTTTGGCCAGTCACTGTCTCTCAGTTCACCACCTTGAGCTCATTGGAGAAAAGGGTGGGGTATAAATGCAATTAAATCAGTAAATGTGTAAATAATAAAATAAAGTTATGCTTTTCGCCCACCTTGCCAGTATTATGCATTCGGCTTTTCCCCAGAACGATGCCCTCCTATGCAAATTTGTATCAGGTGAAGAAAAAGGAAATCGCTCAAATCCACCTTGCAATGTCAGACTAGGGTTGTGCCCCTTAGAAAGCAGGGAGAGATTAGTCATCCTGGAGGAATAATAACGTTAAAAGAAATTCTATCTGCAATGGCAGTAATTAACTATGAATCATGTAATGCTAAACGGGAATGGTTTTTCTATAATAATTAAATCAGTTGTGCAAGTGGCAATAAACAGATGTTATTGCACATCATTACAAATATTACAGCTTTACAGCATTCTCATTATTTTTCAGTAACAACTTAGCAAAAGTTGGGAGGAGGGGGGAGAGACAGAAAGAAGACCGAAGCTGTTCTTCCTCCCCCAGAACAGTGGATTTAATAAACTGTGAACCAATACAGTTACATTTGGGGGCCCAGTTCAGCTGCGATGTGATGTACTCAATCAAGTGGTATGTATAAAACAAACCAGGGATTGGGAAACTCCAGCCCATAGAATTTGGCATGGGTCCCACTTCAACCCACAAGGCTGTTTCCCCCCAAACCACACCTACTGTCAGGTTGGTGTCTCCCCAACCCCCCTACGACTCGACTCCGGCAGTTAATTATTCCAGATTTATTGGTCAATTTACAATTTCATGCTCTTTATTCAGCTCGTAGTAGTAATGAATGAAACTTTCCCCAAAACGACTAGCTATATATACATTATTTACACAATGGGCCCTGCAAGATTGGCTAATTCCAGGCTGCTCCTGTAGGCCAATCAGGTTGCGGATTCACCTCCTCCAGGAGCCTGATTGGCTGCTCCTGCAGGCCAATCAGGTTACTGATTCACATCCACCTGGAGCTGGATTGGGTGGCTGCTGCGGGGCAATCAGACTGCTGCATTCTGGATCCTATTGGTCTAGGATTCAGCTCCAGAGGAGCAAAGTTCCATTAGTCCTCACTCGAGTATCCAGTTGCTGAAACTGTGCCCCTCCTCTTCCGTCCCCAACAAGGAAGCCCCCACCTTCTCTTTCTCCCCTTCCCGTGTTTTTCAGCTAACCTTGTTAATCTACAAGTTTGGGGCAATTCTACCCCCCCCCCATTTCTCCTTCTTCTTCCTTTGTGTCATTATCACAGCTTTCAAATTGCATTCCTTCACTCTGGGCCTCCCTTTCGTTTTCTCTTGTGTCCAGAGATCAAATTACTGCAGCTCTCTGCTTCTTCCCCCTCCCCTTGGAATTTCTCCCTGCTTATCTCTTCTCCCTCTGTGTCTGCGTTTTTGCTTCCCATCAGAGAAGTGGCTGTTCTGACACCTACTGGCCCTAGACCTGTCACCATAGTCACGTCACTGAAGGTTAGTAAACAGAAGTTGGGTGGCCATCTGCTAGGGATTCTTCATTTGTGATTCTATGATTCTATGAAATCCTATAAAATCTCTACCTGCCCCGTAGTCATAGAATCACAGAACTGTATGGTTGGAAGAGACCCAAAGAGTCATTGAGTCCAACCCCTGCAATGCAGGAATGTGCAGCTGTCCCATACAGGGATCGAACCTGCAACCTTGGTGTGGTCTGCACCATGCTCTAACCAACTGAGCTACCCAGCTGATTTTGAGATGTGGCTGGATTGGCTGCACAACCAAGTTCCCCTGTGGTTAACCTGATCACCCAGCTTAGCGCTGTGGAAAGAAGTCAAATTCACTGCCCGTCAACTGACGAAGGGTGACTTCAAGCCTGTTGGATTGGCTGCAAGACCAAAATCCCCATGGAGAACTGAATGGTGCAGCTGTTCCTTGCAGAGAGCAGCATTGCTCGCCCTGTGCTTGGGAAGCACTGAGCACACCGTTTGCAAAGTGCTGTGCAAGGGACTATGACCACTGGGTGGGGCAACCCAGCTGTCAATCATCTGATGTCATAATGGTGCCAGGTGATTGACAGGGGTGGGTTGTCTTGTTGCTAAGGAACATTCCATGGATGGGGCATGATGGCTGGGAAGTGGGATTGTCTTCTCCCCTTACCTGGCCCATATGGGCCAGGGGATGGGTGCCCCAGTCTTCTGTTTGAGCCGCTCTCTGCCACCAGCATCCCCTGTGCCTTCCAGCTTCCTCATCTGAGCAAAAACATATTTTTGAGAGCCAGTGTGGTGTAGTGGTTGAAGTGCAGGACTAGGACCTGGGAGACTATTTTAAGTATAGTTGTTTAATTGGCACTGAAATGGAGAATGCCTGAATGTTTATTACTGTAATGTGTGGATTTTCCATGGAGCTATATTAAGAGCTCTCTGAGTTCCTTAATGAGTTGGTAATTAACTGCTATTGTTCCCTGGTAGCTCTGACGTAGTGTTTTAACTTTAGATCACATGAGAGGTATTGAATTGCAAATTCACCATCTTTGAAGGGTGGAGACTTCGGTCTTTTTCCTCAGCATCTGTGGGAGTTAAGATGTGTAAAAGAAACTCTCTTGAAGGGGAGAAAAGCGCTCCAGGCAAAATGGCAGCTTTAAGGAGAGAGAGAGAGACCTTTGATTCTAGGTCTGTTTGGAATTATCTTTTATTTCTAAGATGCTGAGCCTGTGCTGGACAGCATGAGATATTGTATGGAGTTATTTGGATGTGTTTCTGATGCTTTTGTTCTGTTCTGAAGAAAGTTCTGCAAGTAAAGTTTTGAACAATCTGATCGGTCTAGACAATGTCTAGAGTCAGTTTTTCATGCACCCAGTCGCTTCAAGCTGCACAACATCAATATCTGCAATAGACCAGAGCTCAAATCTCCACTCAGCCAGAAAGCTCACTGGGTGACCTTGGACCTGTCACTGCCTCTCAGCCTAACCTACCTCGCAGGGATGTTCTGTGGATTAGCTAGGGAAGGTGAGAACCAGGTACGCCATCATGATATCCTTGGAGGAAAAGGTGGGCTAGAAATACAACAAATAAGCAAAAATCAATAAATCTGGCTTCTCAGCCCCTAGCCAGCTGGGATCGTGAAGCTCATGACAGTGGGGGCAGATAACAATCTGACGCACTGGGCTGTTGTTGTTGTTTAGTCGTTTAGTCGGGTCCGACTCTTTGTGACCCCATGGACCAGAGCACGCCAGGCACTCCTGTCTTCCACTGCCTCCCGCAGTTTGGTCAGACTCATGTTTGTAGCTCCGAGAACACTGTCCAACCATCTTGTCCTCTGTCGTCTCCTTCTCCTTGTGGCCCACTGGGCAGCAATCACTTATCACGTTCTCTTCCTTCTGCCAACTGCTGCCCCCAAAGCTGTCTCACTTTCCCTCCTGCTACATGCTAACCAAATGCCACTTTCTGAAGTACGAATTGGGTTAGGGGGTTGCCAGAGAGAAGCGATAGCTGAGGGAAGCCAGCCATAGCAAACATCAAAGCAAGCACGGTTCCGGGGCATGAATATTCCTGGAATACAGCCCTCCTTGACCGCAGTAGAGGCGCAGAAATCATTCAAGGTACTTTCTGCACAGACTCCAACTCCCTGCTGTATCCTCCATCCAGGAAGGCAAATGAGGTGTTTTCAAAAACCCAAGGGTCAGGAAAAAACACCCACGGGGGGAGGCAGGGCCAGGGAGGGGCATGGGCTGGGGAAAGTTGCAAGGGTCAGATCCAGAGGACAGATACGTATTGTTTTGCCATATCGGAAGGAAGCCTGAATAGGAATGAAGAGCTGCGCTTCCTCCGCGGCTGTTGAGGCCATGCAGAACTGACCGGCCATGACAGCGTTTTCAGAACGGAGCATGAAGACTGCTCTCCCCTTTGTCATCCTGAATCGGCTCTTTGCTTTGTTGAGGACGCAAAGACAAACTGAAATAATGCCATGACCTAATAAAAGCAAAGTCTGCAGGCATGGGCTCCCGTTGGTGTCTCCGATGGTTCTACACAAATGACAAAATGTCAAAGGATATACAGGGCTAATTTGTCCTCGAGGAAGACCGTTCTTGGTGGATGACACTAAAGATGCTTCTTGAGTCTCACGTTGCAGGGACATGTACTGCTACTTCCGGCTGGGCTTTACTTTTATGTCATTCCAGCTGCTCTCCTCCTAGGCAAGAGCTACTGGTACCAACAGAACCCTAGTCAACAGCTAGTCCAACTACCATGATGGCTGTAGGATCTGCTTTGCATGCAAAAGTTTCCCTGCCATGTCCAGACATACAATCAAAGAATGGTAGAGTTGGAAGGGACCCCAAGGGTCATCTAGTCCAACACCCTGCAATGCAGGAAACTCAGCTAAAGCATCCATGACAGGTGGCCATCCAACTTCTGCTTAAAAACCACCAAGAAAGGAGAGTCCACAACCTCTCAAGGGAGACTGTTCCACTGTGGAGCCAGCGTGGTATAGTGGTTAAGAGCAGTAGACTCGTAATCTGGTGAACCGGGTTCGTGTCTCCGCTCCTCCACATGCAGCTGCTGGGTGACCTTGGGCTAGTCACACTTCTCTAAAGTCTCTCAGCCCCACTCACCTCACAGAGTGTTTGTTGTGGGGGAGGAAGGTAAAGGAGAATGTTAGCCACTTTGAGACTCCTTCGGGTAGTGATAAAGCGGGATAGCAAATCCAAACTCTTCTTCTTCTTCTGTTGAATAGCTCTTAATGTCAGAACATTTTTTTCTGATGTTTAGTCAAAATCTCCTTTCTTGCAGTTTGAAGCCATTGGTTTGAGTCCTACCCTATAGAGCAAGAGGAAACAAGCTTGTTTGTCTTTCATGTGACAGCCCTTCAGATATCTGAAGATGGCTATCCCATCTCCTCTCAGTCTCCTCTTTTCCAGGTTAAACATATCCAGTTCCTTCAACCGTTCCTCATAAGGCTTAGTTTCCATACTCTCGATCAACCTTGGCGAGGTGCTGCCAGTTAGTGCAGACAATACTGACCTAGATGGGCTCAGGGTAAGGCAGCTTTCTGTGTCCCTAAGTGAATTGTTCCCATGCATTGACCTATCGCTGCCCTTCTCATCTTCCCACCTCCTTCCTCTCCTTTGGTCATTGTTAGAGCGTTCCCCATCACATTAATCTCTGTTTCTTTTATGAGCTATCCGTATGCCCGGGGCTGAAGAAAACAAACAACAGGGTCAACATGCTGCCTCTTCGTAGCAAAACGCCACCATCTCTCCCAGTGAAGGAAACCCGAGAGAGCAAAATCAATCTGGCTTGCCGCTAAATGACTCATATATCAAGGCGATTGAACTGCACATCTTGGGAAGGGATTGGTTGGGGGTGGGGAGGGTTACTGTGTAGGGCAGACATTTCAAGAAGTTATCGAGTCTCTCCACAGAAAAATAAAAATAAAATAAAGGATACACCAACCAAGTGGAACCCAGATTGTGCCCTGGGATTAAAATATGCCAGCAGGGGACAACAGATCCTTGCTTCCCTGCTTGTTTGGCATAATACTGTACGTGGAATCCATAGGCATGAATGAAAAGCCACCAAAACGGTATGAATTATCATTTCCCGGGTTGCAGACAGCCAGGATTGCAAGACTCCCTCAGCCCCCAGTGAATTGACAATGCCATGATGGCCAAGTGCCACAGAGAGCATTCAGAACAATATGGAACAGCTTCGGATGAAGCCGTAGTGCCAAAATCTGGGAATGCAAAGAGACACAAAGCCAGGCTCATCCCCGAGACATGAAGAGGGAGATTTGAGATGGGCTGAGCTAAGACGGGAGCAAAAGTTTCCTAACTGGCAAAATTCATAACTGCCAAGTGCAGGGCATGAATTCATCCATCTCATATTACTTGACTCTTTTACAAAATGATCTCCAGCCCTGCTCCTCACAGTTCTAGGAATACAATACAAAGTTGTGTACCACCTTCCTTGACACCTTGAATGCTGCAGTGGCAGTGTTCCAGGTGACGGGGTCCCTGGGAAAGGTTCTTTTCCCAGGGCACCTTAATCCTTATTATGAGCCTCAGGTAGCCTGCCGGCTGCCTAGGAGGAAGGGAGATTGTTCTGGTGGTAGAGTGTGTCTACTTTCCCTTGGAGTCATTTTTTGGCTTCTTCAGCAAGTGATGGGAAAGGGACGTCTGCCAGAGATCCTGGAGATGCGCTGCAAGTCAGAGTAGACATTACTAGGGTACATGGGCAAATGCTTTAACCTGGGACAAAGCAGATTTTTTTGCTGCTTGCCACCACTCAGGTAATACCAGGTGACTGTGAAGGGATGTAGGTAGCAGGAGAAGATTTGGGAGCAGGAGCTCCTACTGTTGCATTCCCCATGATGTCATTGGATTAGTGCTGTGCCAAAATCTCTCCTCCATTTTTTAAAAAGCGTTCTTCCCCTGCAAAACAAGCTTCTATTTGTTCTGCCTCCTTCCCAGCACAGTTTAGAATTTCTTTAGAAATTCAGTGTGTGCAGGGTTGATAGCTTGCCTGGTGCCTGTGCTTTTCCTGCAAGCCTTTTCCCAACACCCTGCAGCCTCCGCTGCTGCCTGTATTTCGTGATTCGAAAAGGCTCCATGGGAAGGGTGACCTCATGATGTAATCTGCTGGGCTTCAGATGAAAGGCAAGCACCCAGGAAGGCTGCAGAGCCTGGTGAGCACTAGCAAGATGATTTGCAGAAAGAAAGAAAGAAAGAAAGAAAGAAAGAAAGAAAGAA